ACACAGGGGATGGCACATTATGGCCAAACACCCTACTGAGACACCTTGTTTTGGGGTTTCCTTTAATTTGCCACATTTCTATATAGCATTATGCACAGTGAAAGTCAAATGTTCAAGTCAAGCTGCAATAAGCAAAATACATTTTTAATGTGGCAGGACATTAGGATTAGAGTTTCCAATGGAGCTTCTTGAAAACATGGAGACCTAAAGTATTAAAGACTGTTAGAATAGCTTTAATTAAAATCTATAGTTTCCTTAATCTCTAAATTTTTTAAATTAAATAACATCGAGTATCATTGGATTTGAAAAAACATCACAGCACTCGGTACCAAACTTTAATTTGACAATGTCTAAAAACTTTCTGGCATGATTACTCTCATAATTGGCTGAAAGTAACCCTCTTTCGGGTTAATGAAGATGTTTCACCTCTCATCTGAAAATGCTCTGGTCAGAACTGAAGAAACCTCTAAGATGAGAGGTGAGAAACAAGAACCCAAAAAAGACATCCAGTTACCTTCCACTCAAGTGCTTGAGACTATCATGACCTGGATGACTGAGAACCTACACTGCCGTATTTAAAAAATAATAGTAATTTGTCTTCAAATCGAATTAAAATGTCAAAGAAACTTTTTTTTGCAAAAAAATATATCTGGTTGATACTTGATCACTTTCCAGTGAAGAAAATGTAAAACATATAAATGAGAATCCAAAACAACAACAACAAACAAACAAAAAAACAGTAGTTGCATGTATATGTATCAGGTTATATGTATTTAAATTAAAACAGTAAACTTCAACTTGGTTGGCATGAGGAAAAAACAAATGCCTAAGCCACTCCGTATGAAACAGACAAGACATGAGAGAAACGGAGCTCTCATAGCTCATAGTGATTTTGCACACATAAATTAAGGTAACAATACATATAACAGATGCTATACAACAAATAAAACTCAAATTTAAACACAATTCCTCTTTGGTTTTTATGTGTGATACTACTACAGATGACAGAAATCCACAAAGCTGCTTTTATAAGTGAAACTAGGCTACTTAATAGGCAGATCAAAATAAACATGCCCTCTCATCCACCTCTATAAAAATAAAGTCTCTAAAGGCTGAAAGATGTCAACTGCATTTTAAACACAGACGTGAGTGGGGTTTCTTTTCAGTAGAAAGTTGTTGAACAAAAACAACTTGTGTAAAACCTGAATTCAAGTTTTGCTCGACAGGAATGTGAAAACTCCTTGATCTATCCATTTACCATTGGCTTTGATGAAAATACTAACAATATGTGCTAATATGTGTTCACATTAGCAAGCTTCCACTTGAGTTTCTTAGGGCACACTGAGACCTTGGTTTAAGTGGTAGCTGCCACAGAGCCTTTCTTGTCAGAGAAGAAGCTCTTAAGCATCATGACTTGACCGATGCCGATGACAAACAACAGGACGGTTTCTCCGATGGACCAGTAGGTGACGCGCTCCAGCAGGTGCTCTGCTTTTGTGCGATCCTGCGCCTCTCTCAGCCTGTACCATGTCTGCGATTCAGCCACCACCTTCAGGATCTCATGAATGGCGACGCAAGACGACTCCAACTGATAACAGAAAGATTAATGGAAATTCATCAATATGTACAGTAGAAGGTGGATCGCACAGATCAGAGTCACATAAACTCACTATACATTTGACCCTAGAGGTCTCAGTACTTGAATTAAAGAGTAGTAACACTATGCTATCCTATAGTCTGATATGAAGTGCACAGTTACAACTCTTAACAATAAACACTCAACCTCTTTATTGTACTGTGCACTCCATTTTACACATTTACAATGATTGATTTTAATCTGGTATCTGCTACTCTATACCACTTTTTTATTTAGTAAGCCATTTTAAACTCTACTCTAGCTCTGTTTAATTTCAGCTTTTTTGCAAATCAGCTATACTTGATATTATTACCCAATATATTTATTTAAATCAATATTTATTTTACTTTATTATATTTAAGATATCTGTTATGTCATACTATATTCTACTGACCTACATACCATTCTTATTTAGGTTATTTTTGATACATTTTTGATACATTTCTTGTGGTTAACAACAAATGCTGGTTTTAAGTTGCATCAAAGGAATTTCCAAACTCTTTTGAGAAATAAAGTATGGCTTATCAGATGTTATACTCTGTGTTTTGAGAAGCAGCAATGCTGTCAAATTGTTGACATTTCCTCTTTTGACTGATTTGTGTAATTCCAGGAAAGGAGAGTGCATTTAAATACAATATTTCCTTGTGAGCTTAATGTGAATAACTCTTGCACCACCTTGTGGACATTATATAAACACCTTTAAAGCAGCAAAAATACTATACCAATTTTAGATTACTTGTTATCACTTTACTAAGCATAACTGATATGTCTGTACTCATTTTTCATGTCAAAATACATCCTGTTTTTTCTGATTCAAATCATGATACAAACGTCTGTGATATGACATTGCAGTTCTGCCTTCTCAAGACATGCTTGTCTAATTGAAGACAGCAATGTTTAAACATTGATAAGGTAATAAATTAGCTATCAAGTAATCCAGCATGTTCTTAAAAAACAAACAAACTGCACCTGACACACTGAAAGCACCGTGTTCATTACTGACCTGAGTCAGAGCTGTGCTTCTTTTCATGCTGTCCAGAATAGGTTCCTCATTCCCGTGGCGGAAGTCCAGATACACTACTTTGTGTGTAAAAGTGGAGAATTCATTGCTGAAGCAAACCTTGTAGACTCCCTTCATAGTTGTGGTGTGAGAGAAGCTGTCATACTGCTTCTTCTTCTCATTATACAAGGCATTGTCATGAGGATCTGTGACGAAGCAGTCCACATCATAGTTGCCCCCTGAAATAACCTAAGAGAAAATAAAACATATATAGAAGGAAAGAAAGTTGCAACGTTGCGTCGCTGTTAAATATATTGAAGTTATTGGATGTGGCTGTCTGTGTGTGTGCCAGCTGTTCCTCTGGGAATTATTGGGCTTCTCTTTAAAAGTCTTTATCTTGAAACGGAAAATAATCTGAGATAACATATGTTTTCAATTGATTAACAAAAACGGAGCCAAATTTAAGTAAATACAAAGATGCATTCTGCACTATTTTACGATTGATAGACAATTATAAATTTGTTCTTGATTTCTGGAAGCAGGAGAAAAAACTTCAGCCTAAAAATTAGTCTGACAGCATCTGCTAAATGCACACACTGACGTGATGGAGCTCTCAGAGGAACTTACTTGAAAGTCTATGTCAAACTTCACGTCTTTCTCCAGCTCCTCGTAGAAACACTGCTTGTCATTGTCAGGCAGTTCAAATGTAATCTCAGTCCCAGACACCACACATGCATTCAACAGCAGCAAACAGGTGAGTGACAAATACAACATCGCGAAAACAAAGAGAAGGTGCAGGCAGACAGACTATTCTTCACTATTCAACAGTGATGTTAACAGTTTGTAGTTCTGACGTGGCGCGAGCATGAAGAACTTCCGGGACACTGTTGTTTAGTTTTTTTATTTGAAAAAAAAAAATCCAACTTCTTTCAAACGTAATATAAAGACAGACAAGACCCAATTTAAGCTTTTAACGCAATTTAAAATATTTTAACAAGTTTAGACCCACAAAGCGAAGAAATACGCTTAACCAGCTGTACAGAGATTTTAACCAATAACAGAGCATTACAACAAGTTTCCCCCTTCAAAATAAGGGCACGGGATTAACAAAAGAAGCTGGAAACGAATAGACAAACGAATTTTAATAAATAAGGGAAGTCAAGTGAATTTTGAGTTCCAAGGTAGATTAATTTGCATGCAAAATTATTACTATATATTATTACTTGCATCAGTAAAGGTTTTTAGTAAAATTATATTTTCATGGCACAAATGTACTTCATCAGTAGTTAAACCATTCACTAATGTTCAAAGGTTCTACGATGACTACCAGTTTAATTTCATCTGTTTCTACTGATGACAGTGTTACGTCAAATTATTAATTAAAATTGTATAAATCTGTTCTACATGGTGCTTTAATTTGAAAATCCCTGTAAGAGATGTCTGACGAGGCAAGCAGTATTTCTATACCTTATGCTATAGTGGGAGTAACTCACTGCAAACAGATGCTCGTAATTCAGTACAAGGTGTGTCCTGAGCACATAATTGTACTAACTATTACTACCATTACAAACAAACAAACAAAAATAAATCATAACAAAGTAATACACAACCATGGTTCTACTTTGCAATACATTTTTAAAAATGTATTTTACCTGACATTTAGAGCATGCCTGCACAAGCTGAATGGCTGCTTTAAGTAAACTCTTTAGTACATGAGTCAGCAAGCTGCCGCATTACGCCCTAATGTCTCTTGGTGGGTGTGTTTTGCGTGACATTCTATTACACAAGCACGCTGCACAGAACTCCTATGTTCTGATGTTTGATATATATATATATATATATATATATATTACCAGATACATTCCCCCACAATGCCAAAACAAATATTCACTGTATTTGAAAGCTTAAACAAACCCCAAACCAAAACCAAATAACACACAACCAACAAAAACAAAAAAAACAAAAAAAACAAAAAAACAAAAAAACAAGTATGTCGTACATGACAGCAAGGAAATACATATTTAAACCAATGACTGTTTTCTACAGTCACTGGTTTAAATCAATGACTGTTTTCTACCGTCATTGATTTAAACCAATGATTAATTTAAACGGAAACTTATTCTGAAAAATCTCCCTTAAGTTCCACCACGCCCTCCACTTCCGGCTAGTTTATCGTTACAAATACAAAACGGGAAAACACGTATTTGTCGTTTTCGCCGTTGTTTGTGGTAGCTGACGTAAAGTTCCTTCCACAAAAACAGATCGTTGACTGCAAGTCTGCAACAATATTAACATTTCAGCTTCTTATATAAGTTCCAGAATTGCTTAAACAATGCAAAACTACGCAGAGGCTGTTAAGGACTTCACCGAGAGACATGCAACTTGCCTCACAGTTGTCTTTGTTGCAGGTAAGCCTAATTCTTTATTAAATGCATACTGTTTAAGCTTTGTTAACTTGCACATTTAGTAGGATTTCTGATACGGTAATGAAAGGAGATCAGGTAAGCACTTTGTTCTGTCATGACAGATTATTGCTGTTACTCGTAGGTGTGAAATTCTAGAAATATATAACCGTATGTAGCTGCTTGATTTAGCTTAGAATAAACATAAGAGTAAAAGGTAGTAAAAGGTCAAATGAAAAGTCTTCAGAACATTCTCTTACACCCTGTTCATAGCATAAATATATTTTTTGTCAGGGGTAGGCGTGCTGGCCTTCCGCAGATGGATGGCAGGAGGAGTGTGTCGGAGCAAGGCCAGGCTGGAAGGGAAAACAGTCCTCATCACTGGAGCCAACACTGGTATTGGGAAAGAGACAGCCCTGGACATGGCCCAGAGAGGTAAGACCCTCCATGTTTGTTTGTTAAAGAAAAGTACAGAAAAACAAAAACATATGCAAAGGCTGTGTCTCACGTCCTGTACATGGGTGTAGGTCATCTTCTGCACAATGAGCTACCAGAAGATTTTCTGTAATTTCGCAACTTATTTCAGTTTAAGCTGGATTTCTATATTGTGTAGAAAAAAGACACACTGTTATAATTGCACTACCTTTTCTCATATTAAGATAGCACCAGGATTAAATATGCAGATAAACATCTGTACAGTGACAGACAGAGGAGATTCACTGGTCTAAACCACTTAAGTGGAATGTATGTGGCCCGTGGTGTAAAATGAGTTTGAAATCATATCAGCCGTCTGGAACCATGAATTCTGCTTTCCGGCCATCAGTCTGTCCCTGAAGCTCAAGGTCACTTGGGTTATACAGCAGAGCAGTGATGCAGAACACATCAGAAAGTCTACTTCTGAATGGCTTCAAAAAATAAAGTAATAAAAAGATAAGGTTTTAGAGTGCCCTAGTCCAAATCCAGACTTAAATATGATTAATATAGTTTGACATTACCGTAAACACGCCATTCATACGCTCCATATAAAATAAGAGTTTGCCCTTATATTTGGATATTGACTCCTAAGAGTTACTTAACTTAAAACTAATAGAAGGGTTTTGCTGACTTTTTTTTATTTACATTCTTTTAATTAAATGAAGCACTGCCAAAAATGATGAATTAAATCTCTGTATAGATGTAAAAAGAAGCCATATCTACAGTCCTGTCTGGGACATTTGGTACTTAATGAAGAATATTATATAATAACCATTCAGTAACAACCCAAAAATGATAGAATATTAAATAATAAGTATCAATGACAATGACAGCAGCTAAAAATAAATCTTTAACCTCAACTAGTACTTTGGTTGCACATTCTCTGGTGTTTACATGTAAATATGAGTCACTTTTGTATGTTTTTTCTTTTTCTCCAAGGGGCCAGAGTGATCCTGGCCTGCAGGGACATGACTAAAGCCCGTATTGCAGCAGATGAGATCCGTCAGAAGAGTGGGAATGGCAATGTGGTGGTAAAGAAGCTTGATCTGGCCTCACTACAGTCTGTCAGAGACTTAGCCAAAGATGTGGAAAAGAATGAGGAGCGCTTAGACATCCTCATTAACAATGCAGGTATTGCAGCAGTTGTACCTGGTTTTTTTTTTTTATGTCTCTGTAAAGCACTTTGAATCACCTTGCTGTTGAAATGTGCTATATAAATAAACTTGCCTTGCCTTGCCTTAGTCAGTTAGTAGAAGTTAAATGTTGTCATCTTTATGGGATCCTCATACAGATTCTTAGGAGGGTAGAATAAGTTATTTGGGGTTGAATGATACTGACAGACACTGAGAAATTAGTTATTTGTATGTTTTTATTTTTTGTAATTTTCTTACTTTCTTGGTTTTTTTTTTTTTTCAATTTTGTTTTTTTTTTAGGTATTATGATGTGTCCTAAGTGGAAGACCGAAGACGGCTTTGAAATGCAATTTGGCGTCAACCACCTGGGACATTTTCTTCTCACCAACTGTCTCCTTGACCTGCTGAAGAAGTCGGCACCAAGTCGCATTGTGATTGTCTCCAGCCTGGCGCATGAGAGAGGTAAAATCTTGGTGCTAAAGTCAAACAACCAAAAAAACTTTCTTTGTCACACCTGTTTAAAATAAATTTCTTGCAGGTCAGATACACTTTGATGACATTAACCTTGATAAAGACTACACCCCTCAGAAGAGCTACCGACAAAGCAAGCTGGCCAACGTTCTCTTTGGCAAAGAACTGGCTACAAGACTGAACGGTAGTGTGACAGGAGTTCAGACACGTGTATAATATACAGTATGTTACAAATAACCATTTTACTTCCTGTTTTCTATCTTTGTATCTTGAGTTAATGAGCATCGTTACCATGATTTTAACAGTATTGCGGTGTTTGACGCACGCCTTTTTCTGATGAACCTCTCATTAGGCAGCGGTGTAACCGTCTACAGTCTTCATCCGGGGGTCATCCGCACAGAGTTAGGCCGCCATCTATTTAATTCATTTCCTATGTGGAAGATAATGCTAGCAAAGGTCTTCATGAAGTTGGTCAAAAATCCCTGGGAAGGAGCCCAGACCACCGTCTACTGTGCTGTGGACGAGAGCCTGGCAAACTCCAGTGGCCTCTACTACAGGCAAGTACATCTGACTGGAGAAAAATGATGTGATCACAGTAGAAAAAGAAATGCTCTTATCCTACCAATTAATTATTCTAATATTAACAGAGGCTGAGATAAACAACAATAGAGTGAAAGGTTTTTAATACAAGCAGTTTGCAACCACACTGTATGACACTCTTCATGATTTATCTCTTTTCTTCATTCCACCGTACAGCGACTGTGCTCCCAAAAAGCCAGCACCACAGGCCCTGAATGATGCTGCAGCCAAGAAGCTGTGGGACCTCAGTGCTTCCATGGTTGATCTGTCTTAAGCACAGCAGCCTGCCATGCCTTTATCAGCCCTGCTGTTTTTTGGCATTTCAGCGACCCTGTTTATATGGGCAAATAAAGTGCTAATCGTTACAGCCTTGCACATCACAATACACAATTTGATGTGCAATAAGATTTCTTTCCTGCTCAAATTTTATAGAGTTTGCAGAACCAGATTTTGCACTATTTACTCTACTCAGTATGCACTTATTAAAATCGTGGGTGTTGCTTAGTCTTTATTTTATATATACTCTGTATACTTTGCATACTTTATCATTTGCACAGGTACCCCAGTGTGTACCTGTGCATTACAGCTATATCCTTATGAGAACAAGGTGATAATTACTTATTATTCTGCCATTTGGGCTTATTTTGACAGCATGTTCTCATATATAATATTTGCTTTTATTCATGGCATTTAACAATTACTGACACATTGTAAAAGGATTTTATTTTTTAATTTTTTATTTTTTTTGGTGTTGTCGATTTTGTATTGGGTTAATATGTAAACGGAGAGGTAGAATGTGTTGAAGCAGGGCTGAACCCAAGGAAGTGACCTTAAGCGCTAGCAGCCGTGGGAAGATTGTTGTACTTGACAGGAGAGAGTTGTCTACCAGGTGTAGAGAGAGAGAGAGAGAGTAGATGCCCGAGGGGTAGAGAGCAAGTTGGATACACCCAGTACTGTAAGTCCAAAACACTCGTCAACTCACTGAGAGCCCTCCTGTGTGTGTGTGTGTGTGTGTGTGTGTGTGTGTGTGTATGTGCGTTTGCATGCGTGCATTTACAAGAAAATTGTGATGTTGTGTACTTTTTGTTCTCTAAGTTGAGAGTTAACTTAAAGACTGAAGGTAACATAAATAAGTGTCAAGCAAGAAACCACCAGCTGTTAAAATCTTTTGGCAATAAATTTGGCGACAAGTGTCAACACGTGCAATGACTCAACACTTTCAATGCATTTATACATATTTTTTTTTTATTTATGGAAAGTTATGGCTGTAAAGTATTTGCAATATTTGAAGCTTGTAGTCATACAAACCTAGAATTGCGCAGCCATTTATCAGCACATTTGACAATGATGAAAACAGCGCATAAGACCCCATTCTAATATAAAGGACTCTCTCGTTCATAGATTTTAAGAGTTAAAAGACGAGGAAAAGAAGCGGAAAAGTCTCAGGTGTTCAGAGGGATCTGTCATTTGATACGAACAATTCAAACTGCTTTTTAAAAGTAAAAGTCACAAGATTTAGTGATTTAGTGACGTGAATGTGATTCCTTTGACCATCCTGAATATTTGAGTTTGCAAACTGTAAGACATCGCATACATTTTTTTTCTCTATCAACGCCTTTAAACCCACAGTTCGTTCTCCTATAGTTCTTATGCAGTATGATGCTTATGTCAGGCCCACTCAGCTGTAATTAAAGTGTAAAAATGTTTGTGGGTGTGAAAGTCATGTCAGTACACTGGCACGCATCACATTCAAGTTACTCACCTAGTTTTTTTTTTCACATTCAGCAGTTATGTCATTTTCCATGTACAGTCAATGGATTATGCTAGTCATGCTGTGTCATGTCAGGCTGAGACCCTGTTGCTTTCTAAACTTTGTCGTGGAAACCAAGCTTTCAGTATTGTAACTCAACTGTTCTTGTGTTAAGTCTTACAGCAGAGCCCCAAACAGGGAAGTCTTTTTTTTTAATAAGTCACTCTAAACAGATCACAAATTTGCAAGGTTACATAAGTGTCATTGTAGATGGTTATACATTCGCACAAACCCCATTCCTTGTTTTAAAGCCACATTTTAAAACGTGAAACTCTATCCATTCTAACAACTCCCAACATGTTTAAAATGCAAACATAAATCAGAAAGCACAGAAACTAGCATTCAGCATGTTTCACCAGTAATAAACTCAATGACTGAATTACCCCACAGGCTCTGTAGGCTCAGATGTTACCTCTTCAGTATCTGTAGGTAATGTCATGCACATGCCCTTATCAGTTCTCCGTCCAACGGATACAGAATCTATAGCTGGGCTGGAAAAGTGATAAGGAGATGTGAGTGACCACAGTACCAGAAAAGCATCTGTTTAATCTGTTAAACTATGACGAAGTACCTATTTCTCAGGACAAAAAGGACTCCAAAGAGTGTTGAAAGTTTGTGTAGTTTTCAAATTGCTGAAAATGAACCGCATGAACCTGGCATCCATTTCCTCGAAATCCCGACCCTGAAGGTGGTGTTCTCGAGATTTGGAGCAGAAGATTTCTGATGTTTCACTCCCATTGTTGAGCAGTGGAGGAAGTCGGTCTGCCGAGGAAAAAAAGTCCCTCTCTGTCTTTCTTTACTTTGTCTGCCGGCTTCTCAGATCCTCACTCAGCAAAGGACTTGTTAAGTCTTAACCAGTCAAAGTGGGGTCCTGTAGCAGTGGCCTTTCACTGTTTGACTGCTGACAAACTTTTAAGGACACACCCCACTGATGAGTTTTATTTCACCACAGCCCCGCCTGGCTTGGAGGATTTCTAGTCTGCCATTGGTTCGTTTTCAGAACTTACCATACCTGCCCCCTGGCTCCTGAGGACAGGAGCCAGATAGTTCTTCCAATTGTCAATCATGGTGGATATCAGCCAGTGGGATGAGAGAGACCAAACTTGGTGGGTGTGTTTCCCACAGGTGTGGCTGAGAAACACATTCCAATATGTACATACCTGTCAGCTCCTCTGGTATTCAGCTGCTCCTAGAAAGTGAGACCTCTGTTGACCACTGGCTCTCCCCTTTCCTCCTCCGGGGGCCCATGCAGAGGTAGAAGGAAATAGCTCTCATTTCAGTTGCACACATAAGCAATTTTATATCCATGCTGTTTGTCTACTCAATTCTTTCTGTAAGTGTGCCACTTCCTTTAATATGATGGGATCCCATACGAGATGCCAATAGGAAAAAAATGGCTTTGCTTATGCCTTGAAGGCTTTTTTTCAGTATAAACACATGTGAGAAATATTTCAAAAGTGGTTTTTCAGTGGAGAAACAATATGGCATATCATGGTATATCAAGGCAGCTTTAGGTTCCTATGAACCAGACTATCCTGACATATTTTATTATTATTATTATTATTAGTCCTTTATTTATCCAGGTAAAAAAATTGAGATTAAAAATCTCATTTTCAAGAGAGACCGGGCATCATGGCAACAAAAGTCAAAATACACATACCACATAAGTATATAACATTTAAAACAAATACAATATCCCATAACAATGTGTAAAATATACAATAACCACCTTGATATGTGGTGTCAGCTAGCACACAGGTGTAGGTGCTGGCATGCACTATCCCCCCCAGCAAAGAACATCCTTTTGCTCCCTCTGAAGATCATAAAGGCTCACTGAGAGTGTGTTTGGAGTGGAGATTTTTTTGTTGTCTGCCCTTCTGGTATGCAGGTTCCTCTCGTTCCATAATCAAGCTCTCTCTCCTGCACCTCCTTTTCTTCCTCTATGAGACTACAGAGGTAAACCACGCGGGCCTGAGGCAGGTGCAGGATTGCAGGTTTATAGCATTTGAGGGCCTAAAGCAGAGCAGCCTATGCCGTGACTACCTTTGGACGAGTCTGTGCATGTGTTGAGCTAAATCAGAGCAGTTATCGTGGCTACGGTTTACTGTCGCCAGTCATTATGCTTAAAGAGAACCTGCAGATTTCTCATCATTGCACTGTTTGCTGTTTTTACTAAAATCCTTTAACCCAGGAACAACCCTGCTACCCACTTTGATGAAGATGATTCAATACATGGCAATATTAAAATCTCACAAAAAAGAGTTACAGTGATACTATCAATATATCCCCCCAAATTCTCATCTTTCTTTGAGTTCTAAGGGAATTCTGTTTGCGCCATGTGCCAGCTGTCTTCAGGGGTTCTCAAGTTCACAGACACGATTCATACATACTGAAGTATGCTAATACAGTTATTTAAAAAAAACTACTCCACAGGTTAAACCAGTGTCCCTGATGCCAATTGCCATAAAAGCTGAAACCACCAACAGCTTAAATGAGCAAAAATATAATAAATATTAACAATAATAATAATAATGCCCAGTTTTTGTGTTTTTTCTGGGGTGTATTACATAACTTACTTGCAGTGTAGGGGTTAGACCACAGCCGACTTTAAATAAGATGAAACTATGCCTCATGTGCTGCAGAGATTTTGGCACTGAAATGCTAGTGGAATGATGTGGAACTACAATACTGTGAAATGTGATTTAATTCAATAAAGAGTGTATCATAAAGTTGTTTACATTTTAATGGAGGTGTTCAGTTGTCTCTCAAGGGTAGAAAATGCTAACATGAACACCTTGGTTGCATAACACAATGTAGTTGAGTATTTGAATTTTAGGCTCTGGTTCAGGGCTGGACTGCATTATGTAGTAAGGCGTTTTTATTTTTAATTCTTTGCTTTTATTTAATCCCTGTTCTTTCTTTGGAGTCCTGAAAACCCAGTGGCTTAGAAAAAATGCTCAAAATGATTCTTTAATCAACATGACACTTTGTGATTTTTCCCAATTTCTAAGATTTGTTCACAAGTGTGACTTCAAAGTGATAAAACATTTCTAATGGTTAAATACAACTGACGTTTTTTTTTATATGCACTTTACTGTTAATGGGCGTTGACAGTTGTTTTTACACAGCACCACCCTCCAAAATCCCAAATAAGCCAACTGGAATTTCTATTTTTGGAGTTTTATTGCAGATTCTTTATCAAAAATCTAACAGGACCTCTCTGGTGTTGAATTGACCTGAAATACATTTGTGTGAAAGGTTAATATACTCTTTCAGTGGCTTTCAGTGACTCTTTGTTATTACAAAATGCTTTTTTTACTTTGCAACTTTGTCCCAAAGGTATAAAATTAGAGAACTTAGTCTGTGTTAATTGACCATGTGCATTTTGTGCCCACATGACCCTGTAGTACTGAAATTGCATTGTTAGCGTGACACTCATGCTTATATTTGTGGGACTAGACAAAAAGGGCATATCAGGATCAGGGGTGTCTGTAAGAA